CAAGACTTCTGCTGGCTCGAATACTGCCGCGTGGTTGACGAGTTGGTTCAAATCAACACCCAACGGGCTGCCCGTAGAGAAGGGTGGCAACATGGACAAGACTGGTCGTATCGACACTTCCTACAACCAGAAGGACACGAAAGGTGGGAAAGACGCCAACGCCAACAATGTTGAAAAGCCCATCCGCCAGCAGCAATGGGACATTCCCGCTTCGCCCCCATCCACTTCCAATCGCTTCATCGTTGAGGACAAGAACTGTGCAACTCATCTCATCCGAAATGCCTTGGGAGGGAAGGATAGAGACATGGTGTGCGCATTGCTCACATTGCCAAGTCCCTACAGTCGGCGGTACCGAGATGATCTGACGGTACAGGTTATCTTTTTTGGAGAGGCTGGTGAAGCTGACGGAAAGGTGGTGATCAACGAGGAAGCCACGGCACGGCAGGTCCAGAAAACTGACGATGGACAGTTGAAAGCGAAGTTATGAAGGAAAACATGCTTCTGTGGACAGAGAGAGAAGCTTGGAGAAAGCTGGACCTCGGGCTCCCTATCACTTTTCGAATGCTTGCGCTTGCGAGAATCTTTAGGGCCGTGTTTGATATCCTGTCCTCCTTCATTTCCACCACCATTGTGCGGTGGTCAAGCGAAAATGAGGGCTTTTCGGTGCTGATATATGTCTACATTGTCCCCATTTGCACGGTTGATAGATCTATGTTGGAGGGTTCGCCTGCAGCTGTGCATGCATGCAACTGTATGATGAGCGGAATTGAAGGTTTTCCTTAAGTCATCTGTTTTAGTATGAGATTTGACCCAGATGTTTGTTTTACGGGATAGTTCTTGTTCACCGCAGAGGCCGTAGCGTGGTCGCAGTTACAGAACTGGAGGGGCTAAAGCGTTGATTTATTGGTGCTGCGAGAGACGCAGGCCGGCCGGAGAGAACTTCGACAAATTCTACTATTCTGACTGGTGGAGCTGCTGCAATCTTTCCTGGTGCCTCTCAATTGCCATGCTCAAGTCTCTCCTGGGAGCGCTGTTTTCCCGTGACTCTTTGGTGGCTAATCGCTCAGGCCAATGCATAAGTCTTGCCCAGCTATGGACCGGAGTACTTGCTATATAAGCTCGATAGATCGATATCAAACTCTTCTGATCAGGTTGAGAACAGATTTTGGTCTTTTGGAAACAAAATCGAGGTCCTGAAGCTGGCCAGGTGCAGCTCTGATGCCATGTAGTGCAATGTAGGCTTTCACATGAAATGTTGACACGTCGGTGCTCCCTCGGGGAAAGGTCGATATCGCCATCCCTTTGGAACTCAAAAGTTGAACCATGTTGACCTTTCGTGACTTGGCTGGGCAATCTCATCCATTAACTCTCTTCGGAGTGATCTCAACCGGACATAAGTCTTGACCAGCGCCGTGCTAGTCTGAGGGCGGACTCACTGAGGTGTGGTCGGGTTCGCCATATTAGACGCAACTTGCATATCCTCGTTGGAACCGCGATTCTTGTATGTTGAAAGTGCTAATCTTCTCAAGCGTGCTTCACTTCTCCACTTGTCCTTTTGGTTTGGCTTGTTTTGCTTTCAAAAGTGGAAAGCGCTTGGTGGTTCCAAGAACACGGGCAAGCAAAGGGCGTTGAACAAGCTGTGTTGTTGTGGTCCCGATAAGGTACAGAACCACAGCTGTGGACAAGTCGCTCCGGATGATCAGATAAGTAAAGACGGTGGGCATCGCCGTCATGATATACGATAAAGTCTTGGATAAATTTGCAGAAAAAACCTTCAATCTTTCGGCATCGCCGTTCAAGGAGCTCGTGTCCGTCTCTCGTTTGGCAGCTTCCCTCACCCTTGTCCATACACTGAAGGTTGCCAAGGCCCCATATGTGACGGGGAGGATCCAGAGGTGGTCGGGCGAGGCCAGATTGGGTATCCACCACAGGGTTTCGGTTTGGAAGCCTGGTTCCATGGGCACAATATTGGGATCGATGGTGCTGCCGTCAGCTTTGAAGAAGAGTGAAGTCACCGTCCGCTTGTCGCCCGCCATGCGCCGTATACAATCCATACTGAATACCCAAACCGGGATGAAGGATAGCGCAAGCACTGGCTCCACCCAAATTGGTAGATATGAGTTATGCTTTTGAATGGCCTTCCTCCGAGCTTTGAGCTGGCTCGCGACCCAGTTCTCAGCTCTTTTGGCATCTGCTTCCCTCCCTGAGGGGAACTTTATCCTCGCCGTATCTTGGTAGGCTATACGCCAAGCAGATGCAAGCTGCATTGCGGTTTCTCTTCGTTTCCGACTTCGATGCGTTAATAGCTGGACCGGAATCCATGTCATGCGCAGGAGTGAGGCGGTCAGTGGGATCGACAAATACCACGGCAAGCCGGTCAATGTATGTATCTCTTGAAAGACGGTTCCAGACAGCTGTAGGCATTCTGCTGCAAAGTATTTGGGGCTCGAGGAATGAAAGGAGCGTGACAGCGATCGGGGGAATAGGCGTGCCCGACTGCGGCACTGTGGTTCGGTCTTTGTGCAGCGTCGAAGAGAAGGGCGACAGCGCATTGCTAAAGGTTTGCTGATAGAGAGCTGATGGGAAGTTGTCTTGCTGCTTGTGGTGCATTGACGGATGAAAGAAAAGTGAATCCGACTCGCCAACAACGCGCAGAGAGCAGAGAAGCGTGGGGAAGGCGCGTGGCCAGAGCCTGCGTCATTGTTGGTTGGGGGGAGAAAGAGGCCACTGTTCACCAGCCACTATGCTGCGCCTACAGCCGCACCTGATTGATCTGAATCAGTATTGTTGCTCATTTCAGCTCGTCCGTCGTGTCTTACTCCTTACGCACTACTAAATCGTCCTCCTCCTCTCCCGGCCAACAGTTTTGGAAGCATGAGTCTCGTTGACTATTGGTGTCTCCTCCAGCATTGGCAATGCCCACCTCATCAAGCGTTGTGGCAGCTTTGGCGGTAGTGCCGCTCTTGCCCTTCGTATTCGTCTTTCTTATACGATTATCGCTCCACGTGCTCGGTTGGTACCTACAAATACAGACCAGGGATCGAAAGGACGCGATTATCGAAAGGGTCAGGCGGGAGAAAGCAGCTCTATCGGAAGACCAGCCGCTGTCCCAGGAAGCCGAAGATGGCTGGGAGAAGGTCGAAAAAGCAGGCACAGCTGAGAATGGAAGACCTCTTGCTGAGGACGAATGGGGCGGAGTCGTTGGGTTCTTTCATCCATTCTGGCAAGTCCCTGTTTTCTTGTAGGAAACCTTCCTAATCTTAAGCAGCAACGCTGGTGGCGGCGGTGAGAGAGTGTTATGGGCAGCCATAGCCGCAACTCAGCAACGATGGCCCAATGCCGTTTGTGCAGTGTACACCGGCGATCACGACATTGACCGGGCGGTGGTGGTAGCGACGGTCAGAAGTCGGTTTGGAATTACCCTCCAAGAGCATTCCCTTGTCTTTCTATACCTTTCGAGGCGTCGGTTCGTTCTCGCGAGTACTTATCCTCACTTCACACTGCTGGGACAGTCATTGGGCTCGATTGTCCTTGCTTACGATGCCTTTCAGCTGCTCGTGCCCGACATCTTCATCGACACAATGGGTTACGCATTTGCAGTCGCTTTTTGCAAATTCCTCTTCCCCAGCGTGCCTAACGCGGCATATGTGCACTATCCGACAATTTCTACCGACATGCTGGATAGTCTTGAGGACACGACAGGCCAGAAAGGGATTCATGCTGGTGCCGGGAAAGGGCTAAAGGGAAAGGGAAAGAAACATTATTGGCGTGCTTTTGCATGGCTCTACGGCTTTGTCGGACGACAAATCGACGTGGTGATGTGCAATTCGACCTGGACCCAAGGCCACATCCGACAGCTTTGGAAACCGAAAAGAGAGTCCTCCTCATTTGCCGCTATAATTTATCCGCCTTGTCCAGTGGAAGAGTTGGAATCACGAATTCCATTGACAGAGGAGAGCGAGAAACAACGAGAAAATATCGTCCTTTACATTGCCCAATTTCGACCCGAGAAGAACCATTTTTTGATTCTTCGATCCTTTGCCAAGTTCTACCATACAGCAAAGGAGAAACCTAGGCTGATTCTCATCGGGTCAGTCCGAAGCAATACACCGGACGAGAAGCACATCTACAAACTCCGACTTGAGGCACGAGAGTTAAAGATCACGGATGCGACCACCTTCATCTGCGATGCCCCGTTCTCAGTAATTCTTGAACATCTTAGAAGGTCGAGTATTGGTACAAATGGCATGTACGCCGAGCATTTCGGAATCGGCAACGTGGAAGGACTGGCGGCAGGACTGATCCCAGTTGTACATAACAGTGGCGGACCCAAGCTCGACATTGTGGTTCCGTTCGAGGGTCAGCCCATTGGTTTCCATGCCGAGACGGAGGATGAATTTGCCGCCGCCTTTGCCCGCGTGACGGCCATGAGCCCACAAGAACGATACGCAATGAGAGTAAGAGGCCGCAAAAGCACCAAGAGGTTCTCAGAAGCTGTGTTTGAGGGGAAATGGGTCGAGCAGATGGAGAGGCTGGTGCGGCTGCAGAAGTTGCGGAATGGACATGGCATATAGAACGGCAGATGCACCGAAGAAAGACTGACGGGTTTGATGACCTTAGACCAATGATACCCACCTTCTTGTCCTTCATATTCCGTCTGCCTCAACATTACGTGACGATGGTAATCCTCGTATTGCCACCACCTGGTGAAGAGCTCTTGAATTGAGCGGCGCGTGGGTGGAAAACGCTCGCCGAACCTTCCGCAAAGAGAACAGCGGTTCCCGCTGCTCCTGCCCGCAGCCTCAGCCTTACCACCCGTCTGATCCTTGGTTGCCTCTTGTCCGACAAAAGTTCTTTCGTGACTTTGTGTTCTTTGAGAACGTCTTCTCTAGCAAACCCCGACGCAGACACATAAAGCCCTCCGCTCGACCGGTAATTCGACACAGGGTCCTCTCTCTCCCCTTGCCAACCCTTCGATCACTCTCTACCGGCCCGTCACCATGACGCTGTGTCTTAACCGTCTTCAAGAGGAAAGGTGGGATGCGCACCCATGTTGCCTCAACACCAAGTCACTAACCCCTGCTTTCAGGAAACAATGGCGCCGCGATCATCCTTTTGGCTTCTTTGCAAGGCCTGTTCGGCATGCAAATGGTGTGGTTGACCTCAAGAACTGGGAAGTTGGAATACCAGGGAAGGAAAAGACCATCTGGGAAGGAGGGCTGTTCAAGTTGACTCTCGCCTTTCCCGACGAATACCCTACGAAGCCACCAAAGTGTGAGTGAGATATCTGGTGCGCCAGCGCGAACACACCACTGAAAACGTTTTAGGCAAATTTGTCCCCCCTCTCTTCCACCCGAACGTATATCCCTCGGGCACGGTGTGTCTCTCGATCCTGAACGAAGAGGAGGGTTGGAAGCCAGCAATCACCATCAAGCAAATTCTTTTGGGCATCCAAGACCTGTTAAACGATCCCAATCCCGACTCGCCAGCGCAGGCTGATGCATACAATCTCTACAAAAAGGATCGGCCCGCATACGAGAAGAAAGTCAAGAGCATTGTCAAGGACAACCCCGCACCTTGAGACTCATGGCATGTCAGCCAGCTCGGGCTGGCTTTGCGACAGGCATTAGTGACGGAATGATGAGCTGTCACAGACTCAACAGCGGGGGAAATGCAACCAATTGACTAGCGTGTGGATTCTGAGCGCGGCGTTCTGCAGTGGGCATTTCGACTCCAGATAACTTGTTTACGGGGGGTAGGGCGGGGATATGGTAGCAAGATTCGGGGAAGAGACATGAATATTGGGCAGCTGGCGTCTTTCAAAGGAGTCGAGGAGTTTCCCGGGGCAACACGAGCTGTGTAGGATTCGCATTCCACGTGGTGGATGTTTCCTTCTGCTTGTTTCTTTCTCATCATCGGAAACATGAGCCATTTCCCCCTTTCCCTTGCACTCCCATCCCAAAAGATTTGCTTCTGTGGAATCTGGTTTGGGGCATTGGCTACGGGAGAGTCGATCTCGCCTATGGAGGGCGGTCTTGGATCCGTCTACTTCTCGTGCCATCCCAGCCTGGCCAAAAAGGCGCAAGCGTGGGGGTGCACAGCGAACGGGGGGCGGCGAGGGGCTTGTCAGGCAGTTAGGCATCGAGGGGCTCTCTGCGTCAGAGCGAAAAGTGCGGGGATTCCGGAAATCTGCATTCATGATAGGCATGGGCTCAGGGCCAACATGTGCTCGAGAGCCAACAGGATCCTCTTCCACCAGTAATCGTCAGCTTGTTATGTGATACTCGTAATAAGATGAGGTCGCGTGCCGAACATCGGGCATTCTCTTCCTCGGAGAACACGCCCCAGGCACGAAAATGTCCATGGTCCGGGTGCGCAAACTCAAACGCCTCTAGTACCGATGGGTCAGGTCCAAGTCAAATACCGTCGGTGGTGGTTCGAGGAGGGCGAGAGAGGAAGGAGAGGGACGAGAGGGGCCATTGCCGTGTTGCTTAAGTACTGCTTGAGATCCGTCAAACCCTCCTATCTGGATCCGAAGTAAGAGCCTGAGAGACGACCAACGAAGCAGAAGAAGAAAAAATCCCGTGTGGTAAGGTCTTGGGTGGGTTTCTGGAAGTGTGGGCTGATCCAAACCGGCTGCTCAACCACAACCAAACATACCCCAAACCTGGCACGCGGTGTGACTTGAGAAGGCGGTTTGAATGGTCCTCTGTAAAGCAATTCTCCGAGTCAGCTGGTTGTCGAGGGCGCAACTGTGACAGTCTAAAAAAGTGAGCGGCGTTCAGTCAAGTGAGCAGGCCATCATTTCTCAGACTTGAGTCATCCCACGCTCAACTTTTTGCCTTCAGAAATTTTGGGGACCCGAAGCGTGGACACGGTCCTTTTTATTTCGTCCCACGCCCACGCCGCCACACTCTTCTCCCATCCTGCATACATTTCACACCCTCTCATTGCAAGGCCACGCTCAAGCAAGACGCTCGTGGGCAGCGTGGGCATCATCGTGGGCAGTCATGTGTGGTATCTTTGCCTGCCACGGGTGAGTTTTGCGCTTCCCTCGTTCCTGATCCCTGATGTCTGGTTCCTGATTCCTGGGTCTATGGTCCTGGTCCTGAGAAACCCTGCTCCGCGATCGGCCTCTGCTTTTTCCTCATGTCCATGTGGCTAATTTCGTCAATGCTCTCGCAGTCATCCGTCGATAGCAACCTTCAAGACCACTGCCCTTCAGTGTGTCAAATGCCTGCGGCACCGTGGTCCTGACTGGTCGGGAAACTGGACGGGCAACAACACCATCCTCTGCCATGAACGTCTTAGTATAGTGGGAGTGGACAGCGGGGCGCAGCCCCTGGTCAACGATGAAGGGACAATTGCGCTGGCCGTCAACGGCGAAATCTACAACCACCGAATCCTGCGCAAGCACTTGACCGTCCCTTATAGCTTCAAGACCCATAGCGACTGCGAGGTCATCATCCCACTCTACCAGCAATATGACACGGACGCCCCGAAACATCTGGACGGCATGTTTTCCTTCGTCCTCTATGACAAGGACCAAGACCGGACAGTCGCGGCGCGGGATCCAATTGGCATCACGTCCTTCTACCTTGGACGGTCCAGTGAAACACCCGGTGCTGTCTTTTTCGCCTCCGAACTCAAAGCCCTCGCCTCCGTCTGCGACGACATCATTTCGTTCCCGCCGGGTCACATTTATGATTCCAAGACCGATAAGATGACCCGATATTTTGAACCAACATGGTGGGATCCAACTAGGGTGCCATCCACGCCCGTCGATTACAAGTTGATCAGGAAGACTTTGGAAAAATCCGTGCTCAAGCGGCTCATGGCCGAGGTGCCTTATGGCGTTCTGCTCTCCGGTGGTCTCGACTCGAGCTTGGTGGCTTCGATTGCACAGAGAGAGTCCCTCCAACAACAAGCACTGGCCAAGCGTCAGACTAATGGCGTCGTCAACGGCGATGTTAATGGTGAAGTTAACGGGTACCGAACCCCCAAAACCGGCGAGAGGTTGGTGGGCATTGACGACGACGACGAGTTATCAACAGTCACATTCCTACCTCAACTGCACTCCTTCTCCATCGGTCTTCCCGATGCCCCTGATACGAAAGCGGCCATCGAGGTGGCCAAGTTCCTGGGTACCAAACATCATGATTTTACCTTCACAATCCAGGAAGGACTGGACGCTCTGTCAGATGTCATCTACCACCTCGAGACCTATGATGTCACCACAGTCCGCGCCTCCACGCCCATGTACCTGCTGTCTCGGAAGATCAAGGCCCTGGGCGTCAAGATGGTCCTGAGTGGGGAGGGAAGCGACGAAATCTTTGGAGGATATCTGTACTTCCACGCTGCGCCAAGCAAGGAAGAGTTTCACAAAGAGACTGTCCGCAGAATCAAGAATCTGCATCTGGCCGACTGTCTTCGTGCGAATAAATCCACGTCGGCGTGGGGCGTTGAAGCTCGCGTACCATTTCTGGATAAACAGTTCCTAGAGGTTGCCATGAACATAGACCCGGCGGAGAAGATGATCACCAAGGACCGGATAGAGAAGTACATTTTGCGCAAAGCATTCGACACCACGGACGAGCCTGATGTCGAACCTTATTTACCGGAGCATATCTTGTGGCGCCAAAAGGAGCAGTTCAGCGACGGCGTGGGTTATGGCTGGATTGACGCGTTGAAGGACAACGCCGAGATCAACGTGACGGACGAGATGATGGCCAACCCCAAGCCCGAATGGGGCGACGACGTGCCGACCAGCAAGGAGGCCTACTGGTATCGTCTGATGTTCGATGAGCATTTCCCGCAGTATTGCGCTTCGACTGTCATGCGATGGACACCCACCTGGTCGAAACAGACTGATCCCAGCGGACGAGCAATCGCAACTCATCTGGCGCGATATGAGGACGAAGCTGGCTCGTGAGAAGGAGCACGCGAATGTACAGGGACCGAAAGATATCAGCATTGGCTGGCGTTAGCAAGGAGAGGGCATTGTGAAAGCTGTCTGTGACGTTGATTTTGACTCACGGGGGTACGCAGCAGGTGGACTGTTATGTGCTGTTTCATGTCTGGCCCAGCTGTTGTGAACAGCAATATCCTTCGAGCTGGACCCAGCTGCGAAGAAAAGCAAACATTTTGGCGCTTGAACTATAGCCTGTCCGGCATGCCATGGTCCGCTGGCAATAATACCCGGTAGATACAGCAAATGCCAACAATCCTTAAATACTCCTAACAAAGGATTAAGTCCCTGAACAGATAAAGCTGGCGAGCTGGCGAGCTAACAAGGCCGGAACGGAACAAAGGAACAAACGGTGCAAACGGTGCAAACGGTGCAAATATCGACTTCTATGGACGGTACCTTGGCCGAGTGCCCGGTCACCTTCTTTCGCTCTGGTCTGTGATTGGCCGCAATCGCTTTTTGCGACATTGCATCTCCGAGCCTTTTTCTTGAGCTCCATTGATTGTTTTGCCATCTACTTGTTATATACGTCTCTGTCTCTGTCTATCTCTCCCTATTTCTTCACTCCTCCACTGCTCTCTATCTCAACCTATTCCCTCTTTGCTCTTCACTTACCCATCATGCCTGGAATTCCCGTCCCCTTTAGCGATATCGCTAAGCCTGCCAACGATGTGAGCATTCACCTCCACGCTTCGAACAAGCAGTGGTTCTCGCTAAACACTCGAACAGCTCCTCAACAAGGACTTTTACCACACCACCGCTGCCAACCTCGAGGTTAAGTCCAAGGCACCGAATGGCGTTGTGTAAGAACTAAACCTCCGAACACCCATCCTCTCGAGTAAACGAGAGACACGACCGTCGGTGTTCTAATTCGTCTCGGTCTCCTCCAGTTTTAACGTCAAGGGCAAATCCGCGCACGATGGACCCATCTCTGGCTCGGTGAGCACCTCGATAACAAGAGACAGCTTGAGAATATCACATATTAACGGCAGCGGAAAGATTGAAGGGAAATACACCGACAAGGCCACTGGTTCGTCCCCTGTCCCTTGGACAGCAGTCTGCGCATCTGCGCCTCAATGACTCTCTTTCTCCGCTGACCCGGGGATGTTGATGGATAGGCCTTACTCTGACTCAAACCTGGACTACCTCCAACAGCCTTGATACCAAACTCGAACTCGAAGACAACATCACCAAGGGCCTCAAGGCCGAGGTCCTCACTAACTACCTCCCGGCGAAATCCACCTATGGCGGCAAGCTCAACCTTTTCTACAAACAACCCAACATCCACACCCGTCTTTTCACAGATGTGTTCAAGGGCCCCACCGCCACATTCGACGTCACCTTGGGCCACGAAGGATTCCTGATCGGTGCTGAGGGAGGGTATGACGTGGGAAAGGCTGCTATCACGAAATATGCTCTGGCGGCAGGATATTCTCAGGGATCTTATGCTGCCGCAGTGACGGCGACAAACAACTTAACTGTGTTCAGCGCAAGCTACTATCACAAGGTGAACACCGAGGTCGAGGCAGGCGCGAAGGCCACCTGGGACAGCACGCAAGGAAGCAATGTCGGCTTGGAGGTCGCCACCAAGTACAAGCTTGACCCCAGCTCTTTTGCAAAGGTCCGTCTTTCCCCTTCTCCTTTCTTCCCACACACATACTTCAATTACGGCTATACTTGGCCCTTTGGCGCACCCCTTCCAACTGTCGACGCTGTCATTTTCACTGCTAATGCCACGTGTTGTTATTAGGCCAAGATCAACGACCGCGGCATCGCTGCTCTGGCGTACAACGTCAAGCTCGGCACAGGCGTCACTCTGGGACTGGGCGCTTCTCTGGACACGCAGAACCTCAATCAGGCAGCGCACAAGGTCGGCGCAAGCTTCACGTTTGAGGGATAGGGGCCCGGTCGTCAATTTCGAGACAAAGGAGCAACCGCGACTCGGGGAAAGGGTGGACAATGTTGGGGTGCTGCGGGCGCGCGGAGGGATAGGTGACACGCCCTAGGATGGAGCACGAGTGAAAGAAATGTGTACCTACTCTTTCTCATTATGCGGGAGAACCGGAAAACGGTTTGTAGTGGTGGTTGTGGTTGTGACGGTGGAGGGGAGGTTGCTTCCATCCTGCTCAGCTTTTGAGCGCGGATATGGGTGCCCCTCTTGTACAGACAGCGGAAGATGGTGCAGTGGATGGCAGGCAGCAGCCTTTTAGCATAGAGCGAAGAAGAGCAATGCCTATCGTGATTTTCGCCTCCTAGTGTTTGTGCCAGGATGCACCATCCACGCCTCTTTCGACATGGACCGCCTGCCTCTGTTGCACTGATCCATCCTGAATCCCAGGGCACGCTCTACAGAGGTTGTTCTATGAAGGTCGAGGAACGCCGAGACGGCTACATGCTTGCAAGGTGACGTATATATATCCCCATATATATTCTCCAGTTCCACTTTATGCTCATCCATGTTCACTCCAGACGGTGCCCGCGAAGTCCGCATGAGACCTCGTTCCCATGCGCACATGTACGCTATATGTACGTCCAACTCCTTTGTCTGCCCCCCATTCATTCCTTTTTCCGTTCCCATGACCATTGCTAGGCTCCGGTCTGTCGTGAGCTCATCTTCCCAGCGCCAGTTTGACTTGACTGGATTGCAAATGTGGAAGTTCCCTCCGTACCATGGAACACAAAATCAAAAACCCTAATGCCTTGCGCGAAGCCTCGTTTAGGGGTAAGCTGCTCCGACTGCTGGCTGTGCGAATGGTGCCTTTCGAGCCCCTGAGTGTTTGCATCTATAGTTCCTATGTAGGAAGATCGGGTGTCGATGATTTCTTAGCCTTTCGTCCATTCGTTCCTGGCTCCATCCCTTCGACTGCCATCTCCTCGGATAAGTCCGCCTCCTCGAGGTGTATTAGCCATATGGATAACTATTGTACCGACAGAGACGCCCAACACTATGATTCCAGACACGACGATGAAGCGGGCCCAGAAGTTGTCTTCTTCCACTGCAGCCTGTGCCGCCGCGAGCTCTGCCGCTCGGCGACTGGCGCGGCGGTAGTCTTCGTGTGTCTGTGTCCTGAACGTCGGGCGGGCATCAAAGGCCGGCCCCCCTTCCGAGTATGCGCCAGCATTGAAGGTTCCAGCCGTGTGTCCCTCTCCTGCAGTTTGCTGTGTCCGCGCGGACGGACCGCCGTGTGCGTAGAATGATGGCGGAGGTCCCTTGAAGGCGCTTCGTCGTTTGCTTAAACCGCTGGCCGGTCTGTGTCCCGCATATGTCCCTCCCTGAGATTTTTGGCCATGACTGCCGTGGCCACGATGGTGAGGATGGTGAGCCCGCATGACATCACGGTCATACCTCTTTCGCTTCTCTGGATCTGCCAAAACGGAATAACTCTCGCTTATCTGCGCGAAGCGCTCTGAGGCCTTGGGATCGCTCTGGTTGAGATCTGGATGTGTCTCTTTGGAGAGAACGTAGAATTGCCGTTTGAGTTCGGCCGGAGTGGCCTGCATGGGGAGTTTGAGGACATCATAGTGGTTTACAGGAAGATTACCGGCAGATTGTTGGAGGTACAGGGAGTGCGAGAAGGGCCGCCGGCCTCGCGCTCCTTGAGCTTCTCGACGAAACGAACATTTTAGGGTGGGACGCGCATGATGGATGGGAAGACCTAGGTGAATATATGTGGACAACGGGACTGAGCGAACGATCATGCCTCATACTTGATGCATTTAGCGCTGAATTGGTGAAAGAGCGGTGAAGTGAAGTGATTCAATGGTATCGAGGGCAAAATGATAGAAGAACCAAATAGTCGTAATGGGGTGCGTGACGTCTTTCAATTTTGGGCGACACGCACTACAGCGGGCGACTTTTGAGATTTGGGCGCAATTGCCGCAGTTCTTCCGGCGCCGCTCACTGCCTGCCGCCTTCGCCGCCCTTTTTTGGTCAGTCCATTATTTCAGCCTTGTGTTTTCTTGAACATTTTCTACCTCATTGCTGCCCTGCTTCCTGCAATCAAAATGGCGGCAAAGACGGCCGACGAGCTCTCAAAGCTCGCTCTGAACGGCAGCGCCACGAAGCCAAACCCTCAGATAAACGGTACTAACGGCGTCAACGGCCATTTATCAGATCAGGATGACTCCGACGATGACAAGGACGACGAGGCCACCGCCAACGCCGGAGGCGCGGACGGTAACACTGCCAGTGGTGCTGCAAAGAAGAAGAAAAAGAAGAAGCCAAAGAAGAAGAAGGCCACCGCAAAGGTCCAATCTGACCCGCCCCGCGTGCCCCTCAAAGATCTCTTCCCTAACAACACGTACCCTGTTGGCCAGGAGGTGGAATACAAGGATCACAACGCATATCGCACAACAAACGAGGAAAAGCGCCACCTTGACCGTATGAACAACGATTTCCTTCAAGAATACCGCCAAGGTGCCGAAGTGCATCGCCAAGTGCGTAAATGGGCGCAGGCGAATATCAAGCCAGGAATGTCCCTCACGGAGATTGCGGAGGGGATTGAAAACGGCACTCGCGCTCTCACGGGGCACTGGGGACTTGAAGAGGGTGACAATATCAAGGGCGGTGTAGGCTTTCCGACAGGGTTAAGTATCAATCATATCGCCGCACATTACACCCCCAACGCTGGCAACAAGTGGATTCTGGGAGAGCAGGACGTCATGAAAGTCGATTTTGGTGTTCACATCAATGGCAGGATCGTCGATTCTGCATTCACCTTGTCGTTTGATCCCAAATACGACAATCTCCTGGCCGCGGTCAAGGACGCCACCAACACCGGTGTGCGTGAGGCCGGCATCGATGTGCGGGTTGGCGACATCGGTGGTGCGATCCAGGAAGTCATGGAGTCGTATGAAGTCGAGCTCGATGGAAAGACTTACCCTGTCAAATCCATTCGAAATCTGAACGGGCATGATATTGTCCAACACAGCATCCATGGCGGCAAGTCTGTGCCGATTGTCAAGAGCCATGATCAAACAAAAATGGAGGAGGGCGAGATCTTCGCGATCGAGACGTTCGGATCGACTGGCCGTGGATACGTAACCGATGATCTGGAAGTCTCTCACTACGCGCTGCGCTCTGATGCGCCAAATGTCCCCCTGCGTGTTCAATCCGCAAGGAGTTTGCTGAATGTCATCAAGAAGAATTTTGGAACTCTTCCGTTCTGCCGACGGTATTTGGACAGGCTAGGTCAGGAGAAGTACTTGCTCGGACTAAATAATCTAGTTAGTTCAGGCATTGTGGAAGCATATCCACCGCTAGTGGATACCAAGGGCAGTTACACAGCCCAATTCGAGCACACTATATTGCTTAGGCCCACGGTGAAAGAGGTTGTGAGTCGGGGCGACGACTATTAGCTTCTGCAAGCTATTATGACCTTTGGAGAGAAGGGACCCTGGGAAAAACCAAAAAAAAAAAGGCTGATTTACGGTCTATATTACATCAGGGTGAAGCCCGAGAGACTCAGCTCCATTGCCAACCGAAAATGGAGATCAGACAATATGCAATGAGGTATTGATTGAAAAGTGTGCATCTGGAGGAGAAAAATGTTGGAATCAAGCACGAAGACGAGGGCTGATGAAAGGATGGGTTTCTAGCTTAGTTGCACTCAGGCAGGCGACAGCACGAACCAAGACAGGATAGGCCCTTTGTGGCTCTTGTCTGGTCCATAAACTGACTTTGTATTTTCCTTTGGTTTCGAGTCGCGAGGCTGCAATCCCACGAGGCTACGAGGTTTTCGGCTTAGCTTCCTATTCAGAATTTCAGGTCCTTTGAATTTTCTCCTGACTGCTCCGATCTGCGGAATGATGGGAGTAATAAAGTGCTGGATGAGCCTCAGCCTTTTGTAACCACTCTAGACTTTTACCGGGCGAGTTTCAAGATTTACGAAAAGGCTCCAGCAAGCTGTTTCCCAAGCCGCATCTGCCAACATTGCCACATTCACAATTCCTCCTGTCTTCAACTCTGAGTCACTACTTCTATTAACCATTTTTTCCGCCTTCAGTATCCGTTCAGGGAAAAATCTCTACGACAAAGGAGGGCGCACTATAAATCTCCCAAGGCTGTAGAGGTTTAGGTCCCAATAACAGCCAACCATGTCAACCTGGGGCCGCTACTTCCGGGTGACCACCTATGGAGAATCCCACTGTCGGTCTGTAGGATGCATCGTTGACGGTTGTCCTCCCGGTCTGCAACTCACAGAGTCCGACATCCAACCTCAGATGACCCGGCGCCGTCCGGGGCAGTCAGCTCTTACTACGCCGCGAAACGAGAAAGATCGTGTGGAGATCCATTCGGGTACAGAATTCGGTATTACCCTTGGTACACCGATCATGATGATGGTGAGAAATGAGGATCAAAGACCCAAAGACTATGGGAGCGGGACGATGGATATGTATCCCAGGCCGAGTCATGCAGATTTCACCTATTTGGAGAAATATGGGGTTAAGGCAAGTAGTGGAGGCGGGAGGAGTAGTGCACGGGAGACGATTGGTGTGTTTGTGACCTCTTTCATTCCATTTTGCCGTCCAGAAGGCGCATGGTTCGATGCTGACACTTTTCGCGCAGGCCGAGTTGCAGCGGGAGCCATTGCAGAGAAGTATCTGTTACTGGCTCATGGTGTTGAAATAGTCGCCTTTGTCTCTTCCGTTGGGTCCGAGTATCTGCTCCCACCGACACCTACTCACCCTAGTCCTGCCACGAACCCTGCATTTCTCTCACTGATATCGGAAGTCACAAGGGAGCAAGTTGATTCCTTCGTGCCCGTACGCTGTCCGGACGCCGATGCCACTGCGCGAATGACCAAGGTGATTGAGAAGCACCGCGACGCAAAGGACAGCATTGGAGGCACTGTTACCTGTGTGATTCGGAACTGCCCTATTGGGCTGGGTGAGCCTTGCTTTGACAAACTTGAAGCAGAGCTCGCACATGCCATGCTGAGCATTCCCGCCACGAAAGGGTTCGAAATTGGGTCGGGCTTTGGAGGATGTGAAATATCCGGATCAATTCACAATGATCCGTTTACCGCAGCACCCAAAGTGCCACCCGGGCAGAGGACACCGAAACGGAAACTGGCGACGAAGACCAACAATTCTGGAGGCATTCAGGGCGGGATCTCAAACGGACAAGACATCTATTTCCGAGTTGCCTTCAAGCCTCCTGCCACAATTGGACAGGCGCAGCAGACGGCGACCTTCGATGGTGAGGAGGGCGTACTTGAGGCTAAAGGGCGCCATGACCCGTGCGTTGTGCCCAGAGCGGTGCCAATTGTGGAGGCTATGTCCGCATTGGTGCTTATGGATGCTCTACTTGCACAGCAATCTCGAGAAACGGCCAGGAGTCTATTGCCGCCCTTGAAGGCCATGTTGCCGGTGAAAGGTAGCGGAACAACAGCGACTACTGAGAGGGTGGCGGAGCATTTGAATGGGGCAGTGGATGCAAAGTAAATCACGGTCGACGATCTGGAGGAGACGGTGTACAACAGTATGATGCAGATGAGACAGAAACAAGCTGATGCCAATCGGGTCTTGCCTCACTCGGGTCTAGATAGTTCTTCTGGTCTACGGAAAATGAAAAAGCACTCTTCAAAGTACTGATGGAATACAAGCAGAGTCAGAGTTTACAAGGGTTCGTTCGTTAGTGCGCATTGTGCATCTCGCCAATCTTTCTCCTGCGCAGTTGCCATGGCGACGGACTGATCCAAACATGGCCAGTCCATCTCCGATTGCACCAAACCTCGTTGCTGAAGATGGCGCAACCTTCCATGCTCCCTCCCCATAATCCGACTGGACGCCGTCAACCCTGCCCCGGTACATCCAGCAGTTGGTGCAGCCACTATTCGCTTAAGAGACCCTGGACTCAAGCCCTGAGTTTCGTGTGGCTGGCGTCGAGACGTCTGTTTACACGCATGAACTCCTCACCACCCCAGCCTGCGCCCCACGATCACCAGACCACAAGCGATTTCCACGGCCAGCCTTCGAATGGCCCAGTCTCCATCCGAATCGTGCTGAGTATTTCTGATATACTCCCACCCTCGATCCCCTCTCCTCCTTTCGTGTATCCGAGAGCAAACTGGTTAACCTCAATCTCGACCTCGACAATCTGAAATCTCGGAAGGCTGCAGATGGGTTTGTCTGCCAGTCCAGATGACAATTCAGACTTGACGCCGACGATGACCTGATCTCCGACCGTGCGAAACATGCTACCTCTACTACCGCTACTCCTGCCTTCTTTCGTCGGGATTGTGTGCTGGGTTGCACCCGTATGTGCACAACAACAGCTGCCCTACAATCCTGCTCGGGTCGTGCTGGGGCAAGACAGCTCCGTCGCCTATATCTTGTCTCCGCGGCCCTCCTCTTCGCAATTCTCTCTCTCCTCTCTAAATACTTCGGACAGTCTCAATTCGGCCTCTTCAGAGACACAGCTCTTCGATGCCTTGCCATTTCTGTCTAGTAATGCCTCAAAGGCATTTATAACCTTTCCAGACGATGCGGGCATAACGGTGCTAGCCGGCGATTGCGAGGATTCTGCAAGAGATCTGGGTCTGTACAGGTATACCTTCGCCGGCGACTTCGAGAACGGGACATGGACTTCTTTGACACTCACCACGACCGACGGGACACTGAATCCTCAGTATCTTTCGGCTGGCTTCATATTCTCTCCGACGGCGTCCAGCCATGATGCCTTGTTGTATGTCTTT